GCTTTTTTATTACCATCAAGTATCCATACAGTTAGCGCCATTGTCTGCACAGTGGACGACTAGAGCATGATCTTTGTCACACACGACACCGCTGGGACTGACCTTTAAGTAAAGAACGTTGCTTGTTCAAAGGAAGGTTTGCTTCAGACACCTTTCCTCCTTCTTTATATAAATACTTAAATCTGTATCCATATAATGGTTAATACGAGACACCCCATTGTAATAGGAGAGGCAAGCATCAATGCTTTCAACCTCACTGCCACTGCAGTCTTGCTCTCGAGACTTTGCTAGTTTCCAACCAGCGATCCTGACAGAAGGACCAAATTGTGCCTCCCTCAAAGCGAGCGAGCACGATTCCCCAGGCGCAAGCAGCACGCACTCCCGCCCCCGCTAACGCCCTCTCCCTCTGCAGGCTCTACAGAGGAAGGCACCGTCGGCGAGATCAGCGTGCAGGTGGACCTGTACACGCACCCGGGCACTGGAGAGCAGCGCATCAACGTCAAAGGTAAGTTTGTCCTGGTTCCTCTGGATCCCCTGGCCTGCCGGGTTCTTTTTAGTAAGGAAGGTGTTGGTTATAGATAAGCGGAATTTGCATGGGAAAGGTGGTGCTTTGATCAAGATATGGGTAGTCTTAATTCATCCTCAAGCTCACCTGGAGGTCGAAATAAATAAATTATAAAACTTTCCAAGTCCAGTAGCACTGCGTTTCTTTTAAGACAGAAGGTGTTTCCCCAATTTTCTTCGATCACAAAAATGTTTAATAACTTCTGCTTCCAATACTCACCCCCCCCCCCTCCCTCGCAGTGGTGGCGGCGAACGACCTCCGGTGGCCGACGACGGCGGGCGGGATGTTCCGACCGTTCGTGGAGGTGAACCTGATCGGGCCGCACCTCGCCGACAAGAAGAGAAAGTTCGCCACGAAGTCCAAGTCGAACAGCTGGTCGCCAAAGTTCAACGACAGTGTCCAGTTGTGAGTGCCGCTTCGGGAATCTTTTCGGTTTCTGATATCCTCTTTGCTGGATTCTGTGATTTCCTGAAGTAGATGAAAATAAAAAATGTTTTCCCTAATATTGCAGATATTGTAGATAGTGTAAAAATATCCTTCATTCTACTCAAATCGAATCATTCCCTATCAGTAAGACCCCATCCAGCATTACCAAAAGAAGATTCACAACAACGCACAGATAAAAGAAGTCCTTTAGCACGACCTATAACTCACGCCCTTCCCCCCACAGCTTGATCGGCAGCGAGGAGGGGCCCGACAGCTTCGAGCTCCACATCTGCATCAAGGACTATTGCTTCGCTCGCGATGACCGACTGGTGGGCGTGGCCGTACTCCAGCTCAGGGACATCGTTGACCAGGTACCGTGAACAGACCTCGTTTTTCGTTTGATACAATGATTTTTCCATGTTATTATGTTGCCTCTTCTCTCTCTTTCTCTCTCTCTCTCTCTCTCTCTCTCTCTCTCTCTCTCTCTCTCTCTCTCTCTCTCTCTCTCTCTCTCTCTCTCTCTCTCTCCTTTCCGTTTCCCTTTCTCTTTCCCTGCCTTTCCCTCTCGCCCTTAGCAAGCCCCTAACGGCCTCCTCCCCCGCAGGGATCGTGCGCCACGTGGCTGTCCCTGGGCAAGCGGTGCCACATGGACGAGACGGGGTGGACGGTGTTGCGCATCCTGAGCCAGCGCACCAACGACGAGGTGGCCAAGGAGTTCGTCAAGCTCAAGTCCGAAGTTCGAGGAGAACCACCCATCACCCAGTAAAGCAGGAGGAGAAACAGGAAAAACGGCGAAGGAGGATGAGAAGACGATGGGAGAAGAGGAGGAGGAGAAGGAGGGGAGGAAAGTGCATATAGACACTGGAGGTGAAACCTCGAAAAAAGGAGAGAGAGAGTGAGAGAGAGAGAGAGAGAGGGAGGGAGAGAGAAAGAAAAAATTACACTGTTCCTCCTGAAGCTGTGGATGCGGTGTTGGTGGACATCCTCGTTATTTAGTGTTTAGTGTGTGTGTGAGTGAGGGTCACGCCAGCCAGGGCCGAAGGAGCCCCATGAGGGAGCTCCCCCGGCAGGAGCCTCGCCCCCCCACGCCCCTCGAAGCCCTGGCGAGGCGGACCTCAATCGTCCATGGAGACTCGATCCATGCGAAGTCTGCGTGCATGGCTGCTGATGGGTCATGAAGCACAAATATTGAATTAGCGTAACGAAACATTTGGGGTTAATTGATCAATCTGGATTATTGTTGGGATTTTACATATTGTAACTTTTTTGTATCATCAGAGCGATTGTTAATAGATGTATTGAGCCGGACCTCCCGCTGATGTAGGCAGAACTGTTTAAAGATTACTCATAGATAAAACCAAAACCAAAATGGGATTTAAAATACGAAGCTTGAAAATACAGTACGTTGCGGCCGTGCAGGACTATGAGAGGAAATGTCTGTGATACAGTATTGTGACTGATTACCCTGGACTCAATGTATGGACCGTCAAGAAGGTATAGTAGATAAGTGCAGAGTTACAAAATAATAATCCGTACAGAAGCTATGTGTTCTCACTTCAATGGAATACAAGTTCTCTGCTCTTCCAAACCTTGTTTAAAAGTTTGTAAAATAGTATTTTCAATCATTTAAAGATGATGGTGTTCATTCTGTATAATATATTACTGGTAAGATGTACAACATATGCACCAGTGGCAGTAATATATAATTATTATGGAAGTGCCCCAGTAGCTTCGAAGTGTCAGCGTGGCAAGCGCCGCCATGCTGCTGTCCCATTTGCTGTGCTGGTGTGAAAGAAAACGACTGAACCGAAGGGCTTACTTTCCCATTTGCTGTTAAGTGGTCATAGGGTAAGTCTGCTGTTTTGTGCTGCATTACTCTTTACTTCTCTTTAAGCGAGAAAAAAGCGTTGATATTCTAATTAATCACGTGGTTTAAGTTGTGAGCACAAATTCTTATTTTTCTATGTGATCATGGCACATATTATCAAAAGGTGCACATTCATATTTCGCCTTTGATCAGATTGAGTAAGCAATCTATATTGTACATATCATTTTACCCTTAGGTTAGTCTTTGTCTGTAATTATATTCATGATTGGATGACTGTTAAGTATTTTCCCAAATTTATTTTAGCTGGTTCTAGTCCACAAGCGTCGGCCATGGCGGGAGCAGGACGAGATGTTCGTTCATCAAACCCTCTAGTCTTTTAGCGGTGCATTTATTTGTCCCGAAACCCGCTTTAGTAAGCCACGGCCGCACACGTTGATAGGGACGATTTTCCTACTCACAACACGGAGAAAATAGCCGTTATCAGAAGAGGTGGAAAAGGCTCACTTTGACCGGTAGCGGGATATTTGTTGGTAGTTGATGTTTACCGGCGTGTGTGTGCGTGTGTCAAGTCTGTTTCATCTGGACTATCAGTATGTTTATTAACAAAAATATAAATAAAACGGGCACATATTGTACCTGTTTATTATTGGCATGTTTGAACTTTTGCCGCGACAGGCGGATTAGTGCAATGGCTGACGGCTGTAAGTATCCAGGAGTATTTTGTACAAGATTCACAGCCTTGGGAACCGCTGATGTTACCTGATCGCCGGTCCTGGTGAAGCTGCGTGCAAGTGTATTGTAAATAGAACAAAACGTGAAAATTACGAAAACAAAAACTAAATTGAGGGAGTGGAAATTTAAGACGATGCTTGATCACTAAACTCATTTTCTATAGACATTGCCATTTGTATGCATAACAGTGCTGGATACGAAATGTTTTCTTTCTCACACACACCAAAAATTGCGAGGGTTTCTTTGGAAATAGGAATTGCTCGAGTACCAAACTGTAAAAAAAAACAGGAGCTAAAAAGAAGCCCACTTTGTATATAAACCAGTCAAAATAACTTAAAGATACTCCCAGCGACCAGCCTATGATGATGGCAAACTTAAAAGACAAACGAGGAGCTCTTCTGAGCGGCGCCTCCTCCTCGACCGCTGGAGCTCGGCCTCCAGACACCTCGAGTCGGAGGGACGGAGACGGGCGGCGGCGGCTGTGGTGGAAGGGCGTCGCGAGGGGGGTCGTTGCATGCCTGTGCGAGCAAGGATCAGATTCTTCCAGTTGTGTGTGTATATAGTCGCCCTTATACCCAAGAAAACTACTTTCATGCTATACACTTCTGTTGTCCGGTCTTTTCCTCCATAGCACACAGATCATGCCTGGGGAGCGACCTGCGGACCCAAGGGGAAACGCCCGTGGAAAAAGGGAAAAGCTCTCTCCAGCCTCGTTCCTTTCCTTCCTCTGTCCCTGGCTGCGTTTGTGGTTCAGTTCCTCGTCATTCCGACACCACGTTGCATCTGGTGGTGCGAGCGGGGCCGTACGAGCATCCCCAGGCGTGTGACATAACTTATACCTAAAAAGAAAAAAAAAACTTGTATTGTTACGTGTTGGCATGCTGTTACCGACTCGAAGAGGCCAGGGGATTCTTTCTACGACCTGAGGTGACCAAAAGAAAGGGGAAAAAAGAAAAGAAGAGAAGAAAAGGAAAGACCAAGCAGGTTCCAAGAATCCTCTGTCCGCCTCTTTACCCTAGATTTTTATGATCCCACCTAGTTATCCCACGCAGCATGAATGGCAAGGTCATCACTACAGGATATGTAAAGAGACCTCACAGGGAAGATGTGCAGTCTCAGTTCAAAGCTTTTTGAGTCATTACACCCATCTAGATGTAAATATGTCATTTATCATCGTGAGTGCGATAAAAAATAAAAATCAAGACCTATTTGATCCGTATCACACCTCTCTTAGTCGGTGGCTATGCCTTTAGTTCGCTCCCATGGTGGTACCTTGCCCATTTGTTGACTTCAACTATGGGAGACCACGATCCCATTTTTGACAACTTGTGTGCCTTTCTGTACCAATAATAAGTCCCAGGGTGGATCCACGAACTTTAGTTGTTTCCCCCTCACCATAGACGCAGCTCCAACATGGCGGTGGGTACGCGGACAGTGCGGGCGGTCACACACTATCACACGACACCATAAGGACATAATACACCCCCGCGGCGCAGACACATACAAACGCGCCACCGGGAAGGACACTTACCTCTAGGGATACACTTACATGTGCTACTCAAACCACCATACTTTTCTTCTGGGGGTACACTGTAAGACTGTCTGGGACATACATAATTGTACAATATATGGGGTGTATATACACACATTTATGACAAGGCAGCACACATATTCCATTAGGGACACACGTCATCAATGTACGTAAAGTTATACAAGCGTCAGCCACATATACAACTTGAAGGGCACTTTTATTGGCACTCGAATGGTGCACATCCAATACAATTCCGGGACAAACACACTTTTAAACTATTAACATATAGACGTCAGTACACAATCACTTCAGTAACATAAACACCCAACAGTTTACACAAATACAATTCCATACATATTCCCTCTTTGGGCCTTACACACGCACATACACACGTCCCCTCTTCGGGCCCTATACATTCGCACACACACACACACAGTCGGCCGCCACACACTCTGTGAGCCCGAGAGTCCTGTGAGTAACTTGAAGAATACCAAGCGGTGCTCGCAGAGGCCTCTCGCGAAAGGAAAACCAGGCAGAACGGCAGGCGGTGTGAGATGCTGCTCACATATAACGTGTTAATCCTACTTGTATCTGTGTATTTCTAAACAAATTATAAAACGCAACTCTCTGTGTATGCCATTACAGTTATAACTAATGCATTAAACTATATAATGTAATGAAACACTGTACGTCTGTTGATAACTATACAAAGGGTATCATAATGCATGTTACAATGCTTATTTGTGAATATCGTAATGCTTTCTCTTGCTCTCAGTCTCTTCGTATACTAGGGGTTCCAGCTGTCCCGCCCTGCACTGCCTGCCGTACGACCACGCCACCGCCAGGGGCTATGGCCAGTCAGATGATTTTTTATTTTCCACTTGGTATCGCTGTCCTCTGAAGATTCTCGTCAGATTTTCTTGTTAATGTGAGTGGGATTGAAGACGAAAAGTTTGGGTTTCCGTTGGTAGATGTGAATGAAGAGCTGCCTTATTTTTTTGTTTCACATTTCCTTCCTTTGGATCAGATCCGATGGTTAGTACAACTCACAGGTTCGTCTTCTGTCCCAGTGTCGAATGGTTATTGGCATTCATATTATATCATATTAATTCCCAAGTGAATCGTAGTCCTATAGTTGGTTTTGTTAATATTATTCCTCTATCTGAAAATAAAGGCCCTTTGAGTAAAACGTGTCTGTGTTTATCCTTTTGCAGATCAACTCCTCTTCAAGATCTCAGATTATAGAAGCACCCGTTTTTTAAGAACACTGATTTCTTCTTGAATTGAACTGATAAATGTATACAGAAATATAGTATGTTTGGTGCTAAATTCCATTAGTAATCAAGATATCTAGAAGCATCTCTTAATTCAGAAAATTGACTGGAAAAAGTCCCACCATAAACAAAGTTGAACAAATAACTCAGCAGTCGTATCAAATTGTATTTGATTGTCTGTTGTCTGAATGTTAATTCTGACAAATGTAGAAAAAATATAAAAGAGAAGTATCTGACGCGCTTCGACTATATCGACAGAAACTTTGTTCGCACACATCTTCAAATGAAGTTATAATCGAAACGCCTCAAATGCACCTTCGATTACCTCTGTATTATTGGAAGGCAACTATTATCCTTTAAGTAACAAATGCAAAACACAAACGGCACTCGGGCTTAAACATCAGTGTTTGCCAAATGACTAACCCAAGCAGGCCGAGCGGTTTCCCAGACCTTACCTGTTCGCTCGTGTGTATTTGGTCGTGAAACCGATACGTGAAGCGGCGCGCGTGCTTCTAATGCCAAACAGGTGAGGTGCTGCCGGTAGTGGGCTCGAGAACTGCTTCTGTGCTTCTTTTTTGCTTATCTGAATTTAGGATATGTGTTTTTTTCTTCTTTTATTTTGAATAGACTCTGTCATTTTTTGTCCCAGGAGAATGAGTGAGATTCTATAAGACTTATCGATAGAAAGTTTAAAAGATGTTACAAGAGAAAAAAATATTCCGTCAGCATGGCTCGATGACCATTATAAGACCATTTTGAATAAATAACACATTATATCGTAAATGATACCTCACTTAGTACAGTCAGCACGACAGGGTTTTATTACCATGGAATCAGATAGAAAGATATACTAATCACGTACAATTAAGTTTATCACTTATAATGAGACGAGCCACACTCACCATTGCAACGTTCTAACCTTAAATACTTCCGCGAATTTGCTTTGACGCATTGCATTTTATCGCCTTGCCTTGTTAGGCTACGGCAAGGTACCTCCATCGATGACTCATTTTATGGACGTGTCTTCTGATAATAAGATGATACTTTCTCAGTTATCGTGCTGTTACGCGTTAAATAATTATTTAACAGCACTGGATACAAATGAGCACTACACAAATAAGATGATAATGGCCTGAGTTGACTA